GATAGATCCTTGCGGCACACCCATGTATGGGTAGTGCATGTTTGATGAACGATTTTCTGTTTCTCCGCAGTTTGTTCTCTCATTTAGATAGCTCTTAAACCATGCAAGAGCAATTTCTCTGATTCCCTAGGTTTCAACTTCACGAATTAATAAGGGTTGTTCAACTAGATCAAAGATTTTGCTCAAATTCTCAAAAAAAAATTAAAAAAATATATGACAGGATATATTTTATAGGTGTTATATTTACCGAGAAGATTTACACTTTGATGTAACACCCCAATATAGTTATTAACTATTTCATTCTGCTCTGCAACGCCCGAGAGTCGCACCCTCAACGATTAGAAAGTTTTCCAGCATATTAGGTATTGAAGCAACTTCATACATTATGGATTACGATAGAAAGTTTTAGCGGAGTTCCGGAACAATATGGAATACGGACAATGCACTACTAATTACAGCGATATTAGCAGTCCGTTTTATGGCATGCGCTTTTCTGTTCATTGTCTTCTGTTTTAGCTGATTCACTGTGGTCACTTCTACTTCAGCAGCGCTTAGATAGTCGAGCAAATATGTATATTTACATACAAAGTTGTTCTGGATGTCATATTTAAAACCGTAACACTCGCGTATTCAGATGAAATCTAGTAATGCACAAGCAAACTGTTTAATAGTACAGAGAAATTATGAACACTTTATTATCTAGGGTCCCATGATATGTTCATGACATGATAAGACATGTTAATGTATGTCATTCGGTTGACTACGAACAGACTGAAATGTCGTCAAATAGGTTGATTCTGCACCTCCCATGCAACGTTGCCAGTTGTTCGGCATAAGTAACCCATCTGAGAAAGAAGTCAGCTACGAGCTTGTAGAATAAAAAAATTAATGAATCAGGTCAGTTAATCAGGACAGTAAGTCTATAGTCGCCTCCCAAATTGGGGTATTGCAATGTAAAAATGTTTCCGCTAGCCTAACGGCAGTACCGACCGTCTTATATTTTATTAAGTGCAACCTGTAAGTTATACTCTGAATTTGTTATTATTTCTCAGAGAAAACAGCAATAGAGAATAAAAGGAAACATGAATGCCCTGCCCTATTTAGTTTTTTCAGTAATTTATAAATAATCTGATTATAACAACTCATGTGATACAACAATATAAGGCCTGCTTTAAAGGGAACTGCATTTAGTATTGACACCACCACACCAATTCAATAGCATGATCAAAAATAGACTTGCGTGCTTTCACCATAACCCTACGTTAGATTTAGTCACGTAATGCAAACATGGTATATCAAGCAATTAAGTGTCAAGTCAGGACCTGCATACTATGCTTTTCTAGAAACTTAACTTAATTTCAAGTTGGTCTTGACCTAAGGGGTAAAATTTGGTGGAATTTCATATTAAAAAATTACCGAAAGTGTGTGCGATTTTCTCTGTTATTCATATCACGTATATAAATTTCTGTGAGTATAACTTACAAGAAAATAAAAAACTGACCCCTACCTTGAAATGTTGAGCTCCCAAAACACTCCCAGTTCAATTTTAAGGGTTATTATGTAAAATGTTGATGAACCTAATTTGGTAATCCTTAGAATTCTGAGTTTTGTGTTACATCAACTGTGAAAAATATGATACATACTTGAATAAATAAAAAAAATCGACTAAAAGACTAATTGATTAGCCATTTATTGGCGTTTTTATTCATAGAGTCGAAAATGACAATATTTAGCTTCAAATGTGTTGATTTTGGTAAAAAGGCATGAAAGTGAAAAAATCGGTCTTGGCCCTTGATTTTTTGACCGTCCGCTTTACGTTACTCCTGGATAATTTTGATGTGGATTCAATAGTGCTTGAGATGTGCAATAATGAAGATTTGGCGTGCTTAGAGAAACCACCTTGTATATCCGTAAGAGCTAAATTCATAACTCGTTTTGGTACACACTACCTACCTATCATTTTACTGAGTTCACTTAAATAAGGATCACCCTGTACACTGCAATATGGTCATGGCGGCTAGGCTGTAGTTGCCATCTTTTTCCAGTTCCATCTTATATCGGAGACTGAAAACCACCATTATGCAGATTTCATTGTCCGCCGCTATGGATAGCTCTGTACTGCTGTATCCAAGCCATTCTGTCAAATTCTTTATCCAGGACGTTTTCCTTCTTCCCATATTTCGTATAATGAGTTGTAACGTGAAAGTATTCCAATATTTCGTTCCATTCGTCATAGCTATAGCCAAAATGTTCCATCAAAAATATTGCTTCTTGAGAGGTTCCATTACATTGCACGTAGGTGGTAGTAACTAGTTCATTTCTCAAAGATGCGTTTAAAAAAGTGAGAGGAGTATGAAATATTTTTTGTCTTCTCCGAAGGAAAATGTTTTAACTTCTATGCCACTTTTGTTGTTTCATCCCAAAAAATTTACGTGCTTATTTGCTAAGCTTTTCTTACTAGAATAATTTTATAGATTTGTCCGCCCCGGAAATGTTCTTTGTTTTTTTAAAGTTATCTTCAGCGCTGCCTCCCAGTAAGAGTGTACTTTCCGGAACCATATGTATAAGAACATTCCGGGATATTTTTCAATGCACCAGTTGCCTTATAAATATCAGTTTTTTGTAACACCATGTATAAAACTTCGAGTACCAAAAAGAATCTTGTGGCTGTATTTGAATCTAAAATTGCAGATGTGTATAATTCTTATTGCTACACTTACTAGGGGACCCTTTAGATTTCCGAAAACGCCCAACATACCAGAGTGATAGTTGAAGAAATGAGATTTCGACATGAGAAAAGTAAGTGCATCAATCTTCTTGACTCGATTGTTTAAAAGGATTGTCAATAATTCCGCCATTCCTAAGTATTGGGAACAACCTCCTTTTATAACAATTTTGGCGTTAGAAATGGATACCAAGAATTCTTAGAAATTTATTGAGTGAGACGTTGAAAATGAGGACAACCTCCTCAACAGTTGTTTTCCGCATTGCCTTATATATGCCTGGTTCAACATCGCGTACGAGGATGGAACCAATTTATCATCCGACTACAATTTGTCCCCATTGAAAGGGACGCTATCTGTAACGGAACACATACCGCGACATTTTAGAAAAACTTCTTCTCGAAGGCACTTATTAATCATTGCCGAAGTTGATATATCAAGAAAACTCCTCGAAAAGTACTCGTACTTGCTTATGAGTATGCTTTCAAGAGCTTTCATGCGCGCAATTACGCTCGGAGGTTCTATACTGTAGGATAAGCTCGTATTTGACATCAACAAATATAAGAGTCAGGTAATGGTCTCTGTACTTTGGATGCGCTAATGGAAAGGGGCAGTTTTAATATACTCAGTGACGTTAGAAGTGTTACGCCCAGAAAATATAATTTCTTCAACTTGTCTTTTTTGCAACATGATGACTATATTTAAAGCATGCAGTGGCAACAAGGTCAACGTTACCTTTACTAACATGTTATCTCTTAGTTTTTGTGGAGAAAGCAGTTTGTGAGAGCTGAGTAGTACAGATATTCTTTAGTTATTGCCCTTTCAATTATGTACTAGTGTTAGGCATAACAAAATGATTCGAGTACGAAGACGTTCAAATGTTCACCGTGTTAGCGACTTTGACAGGGGTAAAATTATTGCCTGTCGAGATATTGGTTTGTCCTATCTCGAAATTGGCCGCCGTGTTCATTGTACTGCAATGACGATAATGCGTGTGTATTGTGTGTCGATAGAAGAAGGTAGATGAACACGAAGAAGGCCAACTGTTCTACCAAGGCATACCACAACGACAAGATAGGCGGTTCAGACAACTAGCCGTACGAGACTGTTTTGCTACTACGCGTTAGATAGCTGACCAATGGATTGAAGTTACTATAGGTATCACCGCATTCGAGCTTTTTTTTACCGTCCACGGTTAATGCTTCCTCTGACTGCGGACTAGTGTCGTCAACATTTGAACTCTAGCAGAGAACGGCAGCATTGGGAGGCAGAATGGCATAATGTCATTTTCAGCGATGAATCGCAATTCTGTCTAGGTATGCGCGATGGTCTTAGAAGGGTAAGACGCCGCCATGGAGAAAGGCGTGATATTGGATTTGCTGTTGGGAAGCATGTACGCAAGACTGTTCGAGTAATGGTTTGGGGGCTATTGCCTATGCCTATGCCGATCACCCCTTCGCTTTGTTCAAGGCAATATGACTGCTGCGCATTATGTTGATGTCCTACAAACCACTTTACTACTGTATCTAGAGGGACATCCACACGTCCTTTTTCAGCAAAACAACTCACATTCCTATATTGCTCGTCGTACTACGGACTTTCTTCACGAAGCAAGCGCTAATTTTTTGCCATGGTCAGTTCGTTCACCGGATTTAAATCCCATCGAACATGTGTGGGATATGATGAGGAGGAGACTATCCACTTTGCAGCATCTGCCACAGACTCTGCCACAGCTAATCCATGAATTTCAAGTTGATTGGAATCAGGTGCCACAATCAGACATTGATAATCTCATTTCGTCGATGACGGAGGTTATTCAGATGCGGGGTCGCCCAAATCTGTGCAGTATATCTCTTCATACAAAATGTTTTGAGAATATCGCTACGTTATTCTTCACCGAAAGGAAAAAATGGAGGTGCAAAGTGCAAGTCGACGCCTAATACTCCAGCGTCTGACGTTATAGTGCTTCGTCATGAAGTAGAATGCCTCAATCGTGAGAAAGAGTTACTAGTGAACCTTAACAGTGAACTAAGATGCAACAATGAGCTCCTCAAGGAAAAATTATCACTTACAAACAGTGAATCATCATCCTACGCTGCAAAAACAAGGGGGCCATTTCTTAACCAGGCAAACACAGGTACTGTTTCTTGTAGCACAGCCAAAAAAAGTCAAAATAAACACATACTATCATCAGCTGGGATTATTGTTAAATCGAACAATAACTTGATATCTAATACTGACGTGTTAAATGATATTAAAAATAATATTAACCTCAAGGATCTTCAACTGTGTTTAAGTGGTATGAAGAAAATTCGCAATGGTGTAGTTATTTGCTGCGATGATGACAAATCGTTGGGAAAACTAAAGGAACATGTTTCTAACAAATTAGGAACGAAATATGAAGTTAGTAATACTAAGCTGTATAATCCCCGAATAATGATTAAAAATATTCAGATTCCTGAAAACTCCAGTGTCGCTGACATTATTGACAATATTTCATCTATTAATGACCGTCAAGATCTACAAAATCGTGAAATGAAATTTGTAACGAAATTAAACTACCCTAACGCTACACATTTGGTACTTGAGATGTCACCTGAGGTGAGAAGTCTCTTTATGTCACGTCAATATGTATATGTCGGATTCAGCAAATGCTTCGTTGCAGACCATGTTAGGGTGGTGCGATGTTTCAAGTGCAGTGCAATAGGTCAACTTGAAAAAGACTGTAAGTTGTCCATTGTGTGTTCTTCATGCAGCTGTGAACATCGATATAAAGAATGCTCGTCCGAAATCCTTAGGTGCGTTAATTGTGTTAAAAGCAACGAAAAATATAAAACTAAATATGATGTTTGCCATTCGTCGAATGACGAAGGTTCGTGCTTGGTGTTACAACATTACATAAATAATCTTAAATCTAAAATCAATTATGGAACATAAAAAATATATTAGAGTAGCTCACATAAATGTAAGGTCGTTACTTTCCAATTTTGCCGATTTTGTAAAGTTAGTTTTTGAAAAAAAATTAGATATAGTTGCTGTATCGGAAACTTGGTTGTCCGAATGTACTAAGTCTGAAACTGTCAATATCCCTGGCTTCAGCTTTTGTAGAAATGATAGGCCATCCCGTGGTGGTGGTGTCGGTATTTATATTAGAAGCAACATCAAGTACGAGGTACTTACTTCCTGTACAGATGCTTGCTTGGAGCATATGTTCATTAAATTTAAAATTGGTCACTGTAGTTACTGCCTAATGTATAGACCTCCGAGTGAAAATGTTTTGAATGCTATCGAATGTCTCGATAATTTGCTACCTGGCCTAGTCACTGCATACGACAATTTAATCATGTTAGGTGATCTAAACGTTAACTTATTGATAAAAAATAAAATCAGTGAATGTTTTTAGTCATATGGCTTTACACAAGTTATCGAAGATCCCACTCGTATTACTGAGACAAGTAGCACTCTCTTGGATCCCATATTTCTGTCTGATGTTGAGGTTTGCGGTGACAAGGGTACCATCAACGCTGATATCATTAGTGACCATCAAATGGTTTTCTGTGACCTACTTTGTAGTTTAAATAAAGAGCATAAGTATGTGGCTTTCAGAGACTATAAACACTTCGACTTAGATAACTTCAACCGAGACTTGCATCAAGTGAACTGGGAGCAGATCTTATACTTTAGTGACGTTGAAACCAAATTGAAATTTTTGACTGACAACATCAATGCCATCTTTGATTTACATTGCTCAATTCGGACAGTGCGTGTCACTAGACCGAAAGCACCATGGTTGACCGCCAATTTGAAATTAATTTTCAAGGAAAGAGGATAGAGCGCTGTCTAAATTTAAAACCAATCCGTCTGTTCAAAATTGGAATAATTACAAATCTTTGAGAAATTTTGCATTACAGTCGTTACGGAATGAAAAGTCTGCCTTTTTGGAGCATTTAAAAAATCAGAGAAATTCCTCTTTATTATACAAATCTTTAAGAAATATGCGCGTTCAAGCAATTAAATCTTCTGAAATCCCATCAACGCTCACATACCCTTACAAAGTCAATGAACAGTTTTTCAAAACAGTGATGAAGCGTGCTTTGAAAAAATACTTTACTACAGAACAAATAACATTTTGCAAAGAAATTCATTTTCTTTTAAGCTAGTTGATCTAGATCTGATTAAAACAGTCATCTGCAGTATAAAATCCAATGCTTCTGGAACGGATGGTATCACGTTACAAATGTTAAAGTTATGCTTTCCAGTAATTGGCATTCATCTGCTACATGTTATTAATATTTGCTTGGAAACTGGATACTTTCCCGACCTTTGGAAGCTAGCTCTGGTGACTCCTCTGCCGAAATTGTCTAATCCGATATCCATCGCTGACCTCAGACCAATAAGCATATTGCCAATAATGTCTAAAATTTTAGAACGAGTAACTCATACACAGATTCTAGATCATCTCAATGCACATAATATAATCCCCACCCATCAATCAGGCTTTCAGAAAAACCGCAGTACAACTACAGCCTTGTCTTATCTCATTGTTAGCATCATATCTTCCATCGACAGTAAAAACATGAGCTTGCTGGTACTGTTAGACTTTTCCAAGGCCTTCGATACGCTTAACCATCGACTACTTATTGCCAAGTGCCGCTACTATGGCTTCGATGAAGTTGCCTGCAACTTTTTTAAGTCATATTTAAGGGAACGTAGGCAAAAAGTAAATATCAGTAATCAAATTTCGACATCAAGGTACATTCAGTCAGGTGTTCCACAAGGCTCAGTACTGGGACCATAGATGTTTTTACTTTACACTGCAGATTTACATGATAACTTCAAGAATACACATGCTCACTTTTTTGCTGATGATACGCAGGTGAAGTGTGATTTTAATGCCGACAATGTCCAGGAGTCCATGATGCTAGTAAATGCGGAACTCGATAGTGTTAATAGGTACTGCAGCTCTCACAACTTGAGACTAAATCCCTCAAAATGTTCTGACATATTACTTGGCAATAAAAGTTTATGTGAAAACCTTAAACCATTAATTCACATCAAAGTTAATGGGGAGGAAATTATTTTTTCTGAAATAGTAAAAAATTTGGGCATTCACTTTGACTCTGACTTACGTTTTAACTCCCATCTGAATAATGTCTTGAAAAATTGTTATCTATCCCTCAGGCTTCTATTTGCAAACAAACAGATTCTGCATAGAAACATAAAAATTAGATTGTGTCAAAGTTTAGTTATTTCTAAAATGTTATATGGCTTATTCATATATTACCCATGTTTGACGTCTATTAACGCAAAACGTTTGCAGATAATGCAGAATACCTGTGGGCGGTTTATCGAAGGCCTGAGAAAGTTCGATCATGTATCACACTTGTATCGTAATCTTGCATGGCTAAGCGTTCAAAACCCTTTCAAATATTCCATTCTCAGCTTTACTCACAAGATCATACTAACATCATCCCCTCAATACCTCAGCTGTAAACTTGTTCCAAGGGCGTCTGTGCATAATCTTCAGGTTCGTAACCGTGACACCTTAACTATGCCAATACACCGCACATCACTTTTTAGACGAACTTTCACATACAATGCAAAATTATATTACAATAGCTTAAGCCAGGATCTGAAGACTATCCAGTCTTCCCGGAGTTTTAAAACTCAGTTAAAAAGATATTTACAAGAATTTATAGCTAAATTGGCACAAATAGTCCTATTATAATGTAACCTATTATCTCTTCTTCTTTTTATAGCTAAATTGGCATAAATAGTCCTATTATACTGTGACTTAATCTTTGTAGTTTCACTTTTTTTGTATAACTTGTTTTTTTTTCACTTTTGTACGGGGTTAGATGGTGGAATAGCAGGTGCTAAATCTCGCCCCATGTAATGTACCATGTTTTGGTCAATAAAGACGATTATTATTATTATTTTCTTTTCTTATTACTTGTGAATAAAATTTCTTGAGAATAAATCGAACTAAAAAATTAAAAATAAATAATAGTTTAAAAAACAAAAAAAAACACGCTTTTATAGCAAACCAAACTAAAAAGTAGGAAATAATTTTGAATTACAAAGAGTTTACAGTAGTAGATGGTCGAACAATCAATCAAAATTAATGACTTCAAAGTAAAATTATAATAAAATTTAAGTTATTAACAGAATCATTCAATTCAGAGTAAAGACTGTGGGGTGCATTTTGCCACATTTTCATAACTCGCCTCTCGTAGACAGTTTCCTATAGAATGATTGTAACATTTAATATATCAAGCACCCCACGCTCGTTACTGTGAATTGAATTATTCTGTTAATAACTTAAATTTTATTATAATTTTATTTTGAGGTCATTAATTATAGTTATTCGACGATCTACTACTGTAACTCTTTTATTTTCTACTTTTTAGTTGGGTTAGCTATAAAAGCGTGTTTTTTATTTTTTTTAAACTATTATTTATTTTTATATGGGCCGAAAAAAAAAGTAAACCCTGTATCTAATAGCATTTTTATGCAAATTCAATGCTGTATCATAATATGTAACATTTGTTTTCTTGGTTAAGTTCATTTATTTATCACAACTCATTAACTGCAGAACGGTACCTTCAATTCTTTCAACATGATCTAGAAGATTGTCTGGATAATTTACCTTCAGAGCAGGTTAATAGCTATTGGTTTCAACAAAACGATACTCCTGCGCATATCTCTAGGCAAGCTCGAGAGTATCTTCCTCAGCGATTTCTCGGAAGTTGGATTGGAACCTGCAGTGAAGATTATCAACATACTTTTGAAAATGAGCAGCAGGTACGAAATGGAAGCATTTAGTATGATTACATCAGCAATGTTACGTGATGTTTTGAGTTCCACTTTTAGAAGGTCATCTTTATGTTTAGAAAATAATGATAGCCTATTTGAACATCTGTTGTGAATGAAATAAGAATTATGTTAAAAATATATCCGTTATTCTGAATATCACTAGATTAAGCACCATTTTATAAAATGTTACCCCATCATATAATCATTTGATATGCATCTATCAGTAATCACAAAATATTACATCAAGCATTTATTTGTAATGCCTAATTGAAGTAAAAAAGAATCAGAAACACAGTTTTCTTTATAACTATGAAAACAAATGTAACATGCACTTTTTTTCGGATCATACAAAAAATAAAGTTGATGATAGTGTCTCAAAAATGAAACGTCAGGCACCAAATTTAAAAACACCAACGTGCAGTTGTGATGGGCGCATTGTATACATCATGTATAATAAATACACAATTGTATACGCATATAAATATACTAAGTGACATATAAATCCGAACACCCAGTTTAAATGGTTTTATTTTAATAAAAGTTGGTGAATGTATTTATTTTACTGTAAATAACAAGTGAAAAAATGTTCAGCCTTATCAGTCAGACATTCCGGTTTTTATACTGCTTTTTTTTTAATTCACTAACGCTCTAAAAATGAATATTTCAGCCGCAGTAAAGAATCAACGTTGGCGGATTTTGGTTCTTGACATCCTTTACGATCGGTTACGATGCCTAGAGTACGGAGACCTGTACGATTTCGTCAACTTAGTGAGTTTGATAGGGGC